AAAAAAAAAAAAAAAAAAAAAAAAAGTGTAGATCTCGAAAAGATCTACAACGTCATTTTCTATTTTATTTTTTGAAGTCTAAACAAATTTCTGAAAGTCGCAGCTGCACCCAATTGCGGTCGGAGCTGCGCCAACCGTGATCATGGCCACCCGCCGAGTTTGACCTCGCGACCGTGGCCGCGGGTGATACATAGGTCTAGACTGCCTTGACAATTTAATGACCTCATTAACCAGCAAAATAGTATCCTGAATTTTCTTCTCTCTGATAAAGTCAGTCTGCGCTGGGTGGATAATGTCCCCCATCACCTCTCCCAGACGATTCGCCCGACACACAGTTAGGAGGGTGATCGGCCTATAGTTTCTTATGTTCATATGATCCCCTTTCTTATAAAGCAGGGTCAAGACTCCTTGTCGCACTAGCTCTCCCATTTGACCCATGATCCATACAGTGTGATAATAATCCATCAGGTCCTGTGCTAAGGTACTCCACATGGTCTCCCATAACTCCTTAGGGAGTCCATCTGTTCTGGGGTGTTTTCCTCTTTCATTTGCATAAGCGCTTACCACAACTCTTCCTTCGATAAAGGCATCTCCAAAGTTTTCTTTTGCTGTTCTGAGAGGTGTTTCTGTAACGGGATCAGGAAATCGTTTATTTCTGACATCCTCTGCTCGTATGGTTCATCCTTACATTTTGATTTAAAAAGGTCGTGAAAGAAGTCACTTCAAGTTGCTATCCAAACACACCGGCATGTGGACGCGGCCACCGATTGCCGGGGTTGCAACGGGTCATCCAATGCTTCTATGGTGGTTTTGCCCGTCCTTATCCTAGCCATGAAAAAAAAACGGGTGTTGATCGTCCCCTCTGTCTTATATCTGTGCAACTTCCCTCTGATCCGTACCCCTTGCCAGTTATGCTCCATATGAATGAGCAAGCGAGCCTCTGTGGCCGCTATGGCCTTAGAGAGCTCCCTTGATTCTGGCTTCTCCCTTTGCTCTTCTTTTTGTTGTTTAAATTGATATAGTTGGTAGTGTAGGTATATTTCATCTGCGTGCCGTCGGGTTGCAAACCCTTTAGCGAATTCACTAGATTTTTTGGCGAGAAAGGTCAGTCCATTATTAAACCATAGAATATCATTTTGAAGTGTCTCCCTATGTGTTCTCCAATACTGCCACACGTCCTGCATAAATTTCTGAAAGTTTTTTCTTGTTAATAAGGATGTGTTCAGTTTGAAAAAAATGGGCCCCTTATCAGGCCGTTTCCTAAAGGAGAGGACAATGACACACATTCTGTGATCCACTCCGGGGTAAGCACTTCGTGGGAAGACCTCGGCTACTTGCAGAGCCCTTTCCAAGTCTTGCAAGATCATTATCAAATCAATTCTTGATCTTGATATTATTTCCGTTTTGTTTTTCCTATAGCATGAGAAGGCTCGCCTAGTCGGGAATTGTCGGCGAAAGGGATCATACATGCACAATGATGTACATACATTTGCAATTATCTATTCACCCTCTTCCACATGTGTTGGGCATGGGGAGGGAAGGCGCCATCTGTCTAGCTAGCGGTCCACGGCCGCATTGAAGTCACCTGCTCCCAGGGGCCGTTGGGGGGGTGCCGGGGGGGGTTGAGGGCCTGGGGTGGTGGGATGGTTGTGGAGGGGCACTGCAATGTTTTTTTTAGATTAAAAAAAAAAAAAAATCCGCTTAAAAATGGGAAAAAAAAAGGATTGCTTGCGTCCCTATGGGGCTCAACTTGGCAGCCTGTGGCATGGGCCAAGGAAGTTTGGGAGGGCAGGCTGGACCCCCAGCCCGCCCTCCCCGAACTGCCCTGACCCATGACACAGGCTGCCAGGCTGGGCCCAACGGGGACGCAGGCAGTCTTTTTTTTTTTCCTCAATTTTTCAGTGGGAAGAAAAAAAATTCAAGGCAGTTGGAAGAGAGGGCCTTGGGGGAAGGACTCCGCTCACATCTGCATAAAAGGGAGATTGTGGGCGTCAACACAGACAGTGTGTTAAAGAGAGAGAGAGACGGCGACGACAACGACGACGATGACGACGACGGCGACGACGACGACTGGGGAGGAGAGTGGGAAGAGGATGGCAACAAGGACGACGAAAGACGCCTCCGTCTCGAATTCGACGTCGCGTACGTACGGAACGATCTCGTACACATGCCACGTCCGCATGGACGCTTCCGTACACACCGGCTGGACGCCTAAAGTGAAATCGACACGGCGGCGGCTGCTATCATGCGCCTGCAGAGGGTTGCTGGCACGCGTGCGCAAGAGAGAGAGAGAGAGAGAGAGAGAGAGAGAGAGAGAGAGACTTCGACTCTTCGTGGAAAGAGAGAGATGAGTTCTGGTCTTTCTTTCTTTCTTCTTAAGTTCCACTTTTTCTTTCTTCTTCTTCTTCATCATCTTCTTCTTCTACTTCTTTCTTCTTCTTTCTTCCATTTCTTCTAGTTTGTTTTTCTTATTCCTCTTCTTCTACGTCTTTGTTCTTCTTCTTCATCTTTTTCTTCAACTTCTTCTGCTTCTTACTTTCTTTCTTCTACTCCTTTCCTTCTTCTTCTTCTTCTTCTTCTTCATCTTTTTCCTTCTTCTTCTTCTTCATCTTCGTCATTTTTTTCTTCGTTTTTTTTCCATCTGCCTTTTCTTCTTTCATCTTCTCTTTCATCTTTCTTCTTCTTCTTCTTCTTTAATCGTTTTTTTCAACATTTCTCTTTTTTGTGTTTTCTTCGTCTGCCTTCTCTTCTTCTTCTTTCGTCTTCTTCTTCTTTTTCGTCTTCTTGCTTCGCCGAGAGAGAGAGAGTGACGACAACGACCTAGAGAGAGAGAGAGAGAGAGAGAGAGAGAGAGAGAGAGAGAGAGACGTGGACGGCGACAACGACGACGACAACATACATGAAGATGGCGACGACGGCGTGGACCACACGTGGCGGCCCCTTATCGTCCATCGGCCACCCGTACGCACGGCCCATCTGCGGATGTACGGCGCGTCCATACGGGCAGTTTTGTACGTACAATCCGTGCGCTTAAGCCCGTCGGGCGGCGGCGCGGACGGTTTTGGGGGGGGGGAGGCGGAGCGGGGACTGGGCAAAGGCGCTGTTGGGGGGCATTGTGGCACGTTTCTTACTCCGTGGTCTGTCTACAATGAGGCCCAGGAAAGGGAGGGGTGACCAGTCGTTTGTCCCTGTCAGTAAGGAGAAATAGAGGGCAGTGGAGCTGCAATTTTGCGGGTTCAAATGAATCACGTCGTCACGAAGGGGCAAACGCTGTCGAACTCCAATGTGAATTTCCTCATGATGCAGTGCGAATTGTGTGGCCAGGGGTTTCAGGGCAGTCAAACGAAGGCAGCTGTACACTTCACCATCAAGAACAATTGCCCCAAAGTCTTTATGGAGCAGCTGGCGGAGATATGGAACAAGACGAACTACACCTTCGATCAGAGCCATTGCCGGACGATCCTCGACTTCGTGAAGTCTCGTGCGTATCGAGAGAACAGATGTACTTCGGGGAGGGATCAGGCGGGGGAGGACGAGGATGAGGACAGCGAGGACGAGCTGAGGGCTGCCGAGGGTCAAGAGGATGATGACGACAACGATATGCCGACCATGGGCGTGCGAAGAGAGGAGGAGCGTGCCAGGGGCAAGATGAGGGGGGAGAAGGTCGTCGACGAGGACAACACTCCAGACGAGGACGACAACGATCATGACGCGGACATTGTAGCCTCTCTTGATGGGGGGTTCATGGTCGGTGGCCGTCGAGGCCAAGAGGGGGCATCCAGAGCGATGATGGAGGCAAAGGGATCGAAGAAGCGAAAGAGGAAGGCAAAAAATATTGTCACGAGGACTCCACCGGCACCCTCTCTGCCGAAGAAGAGAAAAATCCTTCGACAGACTTCCATGGTTGAGGCCTTCAATCCGGTCTGGCAACGCGATTTTTCAAACTACTTCCTGAAGTGGTACTACGTGAGCGGCATTCCATTCGAGGCGGCGAGCAGGCCAGAGTACCACAGAATGAGGAAGCACTTGCTTGAGTGCAAGCCGTATACGCATCCTGCGTTGCCCACGCACTGTGTGATTTTGGGCGACGACATCCGTGAGCAGCAGCAAGTTATGACGGACTTGGTGGCCGCCATCCACAAGGACATTGGGGCGACGGTGGCGACTATCCTTACGGATGGTCGCAAGTCCATCACCAGTGACCATATAGTTAAATTTCTTGTTGCTGGACCCACAGGAGCGTACCTTTTCAGGACTATGCAGCGGGATGGTGCTGTTTAGGAAACAACTGAGGCCGTGGTGGAGCGATGGAAGGTCGTGTTCGACAAGTTCGGTGTCGAAAATGTCAACGTCATTTGCACAGACTCCGCGTCGACTTACGTGGCTGCTTCTAAGCTCCTCGCAAAGGAGGAGGTCAAGTACAGCCGCATCACTTGGCGTCCTTGTGCGGTCCATGTCTGCAACTTCTTGTTGTCAGACCAGTGCCGGACTTGTGAACGTGAACGGGTCTGGCCACCTGAACGTGACCGGCCGTTCACCGGGTCCGATTCCCGTGAACGGCCGTTCAAGGGGGCCGTTCAAGGCCCTGGTGGCCACGTGGCAGCCCGGGTGGTCGGCGTCCAGGTGGGATCGGGGTCGCGCGGGGTCCAATTAGGACCCCGTACCTTCAAATCAGAAAAAAAAAAAGAAAAAAAAAAAGGATATTTATGTTTAAAAAAAATAAAAATAAAAAAATTTGGGGGTTGATTGATTGATTGATTGATTGATTGGTTGGTGGGGGAGGGGTCCTCCCTCCACTCCCCGGCGCGCGCGCGCGCACACACACACACACACACACACACACACACACACACACACACACACACCTCTCTCTCTCTCT